CAGTCCAGTTTCGTCCTTTTTATTATGAATTTATTTTTTTGTTATTTGGAGCCGCACCCTGGCTTTTGCCAGGTGCCGCAATATAGGCAGGCCATACATATGGCCAATTGTCTGAACGAGGTTTCTGGGACCTCTCTACGGCGATCATCATCCACATTGTGGCACTTTGTGTCATTGGGTGTTTATCGCTTGTGTGATGTTCTGGTGGGGTAGAAAGTCAGTCAGTCAGTTGTTTATTTTGCGTATGAGCTTGTCTAAATCGCAAACCTGCTGGAATATATCTTCAGCATCGGGCATCCAGGAGCAACCTCTTTTCAGGCGTCCCTTCTCCTTTTACGAAATCTATAGCACTATGCAGTGGATGGTTAATCCCTCCTGTTACATTTACGTGTCCTGTACCTATGTTACAGCTTCCAATATTAATCTGACATCACCTGTACGACTTTCCAATTCCAGTTGTCCAACAAAAATTCCATAAACTTGATACTTTTTCAGCAGCCCGGAGGCCTGCAATATGAAGGAAGGTTCCTTGGGTATCTTATTTGGTTTCCTATTAGTTGTGGTGTGAAGTCACACCTGGTATTCTTGTTCTTTGTCTTCCTAAGTCCGGTGTGGTACTTGGGGTTTTGGGTCTGGTCCAGTTCTCCTAGTATCAGTTTATGTGGGTTTTAGCTGATTGTTGCTGGTGCTTGGTTTACCTCGTGCTGGTCGCTGCGCTGGTGTCCTATTGTCTGCTGGGTTACCGTTCTGTAAAGCCGCGGGAAAATGCCAAACAAACATCAGGTCACGGCGTCTCCAACAATGTTCCTTTTCATGACAACCAGAGCCGTCACAATATGTTGTTATGATCAGCCCTGTGTGTGTGTGTGTGTGTGTGTGTGTGTGTGTGTCCACGGAGTGTGGAGAAGTAGTGGAGTTAAGATGGGCTGCAAATTAGAGAACTAATTTGCTCGAATGTGCCAAGAGATTTGATAGTGAGGTCGGGAGAATGAGAGCAACAGATAGCTTGAGAGAGATATGTTCCCGACGCGGGAGCCCCTCCCCCCCTCCCCCCCCCCCCCCCCCTTCCCTTCTCCTCCCTCCCCCCCCCCCCCCCTCCCCCTCCGCCCCCCCTCCCCCCCCCACTTGTACTCGCCGGATCTGATCAGGTCTCATCGGGTTGTGCAGCCGCCCGTCTGGTTGAGGGGTAGCTCTCAGATCGTTTTCCCTGTTCTCGATATGAACTTCTTGACAAGTCGCTGGGTCTGGTCCTCAGTGCACACGCTAAGGCAGTTTTCGACAGTCATAAGTACGACTTTGTGTCTGGTGTCATCTATATACGTGGTCAAGGGTGTCCTATTAGCATCGTTACAACATTATCTGTTCAGCATGGTGGCACCTAGAGTCAGAAAAGAAACTAAACTATAAGGATGATTATTTCGATGATGATCAGAACAAAAAAGGGCAACAACTCTCACAAACAAAGCCACTGTCATCGCCATATTGTCCCTGTCTGTTCACTTCCGTGTTTGGTGTCTTCAGTCAAAGATGGGCTGTGTTGTAAGTATTTATGTACCGTTTAGTGTTTGTTTCCCAAATCACACATCCTCAAGAATGTTACTTTTGTATATTTCTTAAATTATTAGCATTATTTTTCATTGTTTATATTTTTTCTACCTTTTTGTTTTAAAACTTATTAAAGTCTCATAAGTCTGACTGTTGACGCTGTTGTGTTGTCTTTCAAATCTTTGTATTGTAGTTTGTTTTGGTGCCGTACTGTCGTTTTTTTTTTTTTTAGTTTAGTTTTTGGCTTTGAGCGACATTTAAATATTTAAATAATATACTTTAAATATGGTTTCAAATTTAGTCGTAGGTAAAGTTTGGACTAAGTCGTCACGATTTTAAGGTCAAGTCCCAGGTCAAGTATCAAAGTCAAGTTCATCCATCAAGATTTAATTTGATTTAAATGAGAGTCATGAACTTATGATACTTGCTAGCTTCACAGTCATTTCATTGGTTAGATCCCACCAAGTACTGTCAAGTCATTTAATTTGCACGTTATGGAATGGACAGTATTTATGGACTAAACTATTTAGTCTGTTATATTCTCAAGAAAACAAACAACGGCTCTCCTCCAAACTTCTACCCCCGCAGTATTGCGGCCTGAAATATCCGTTCGGGGCACAGTCCAATTAAAAAATGCCGGCTCCGTATAACGAAACAAATGTTCTAACAGGGTTTAGGCGATATGTAACTTGCGGACCTGTTTCTTATTGTTTCTGATTACCTGACAATTCTAAGAGACGCACGCAACAATGCAGACGATAATAATAGCGACCCTTGACACTTTTCATTTTTGAACTTTCTGCCGATGAACAAATCACAGCAATTCTAGGATTGGCTGGGAAAAAGGAAACAAATGCTCTAACAGGGTCTCAGCGATATTATACTTGCGGAACTGTTTCTGTGACGATGCCTCACTGCCGTGCGTATCCCCCGCGTTACTACGCGCGGCGCGGATAGGGCTAAACTAGATGGCTGGGACTCACAAGCGGCAGCTACCGCATCTCCTGCCACTTCCTCCAATTACTTTGCTCGTGAGTCCCAGGCACCTGGTTTAGCCCCCATCCGCGCGTAGTGGCGCGGGAGCTACGCTCGGCAGTGAGTTTAATCTCGTTTTGCACATGCCGACAAGTCTGACATCTACTGCTGCTAAATCCTCAATCGGAAGAACAGTATTGCAAATCTGCGTGGGAGCGCGTAGTCTACCCGCCATATCACTTTCATCGTCTGTTAAATTGTCAACGGTCGCTTTTATCGTCTGCTAGCATCGTCTGCAGAAAACACTCAACATTGTCACCGGTCACTTTTATCGTCTGCTACTATCGTCTGCAATGTTGCGTCTCGTGACATTGTAAGGTACTCCTAGTTTTGCCGCAATTTGTTCCTCGGCGGGAACTCTGACAAGTCCGTATTTTTAATTGGACTGCACCCCGAACAGATATTTCCTGCCGCAATACTGCGGGGGTAGAAGTTCGGAAGAGAGCCCAAACAACTGTTCTTAGATTTTGTGATGTTGTTTGTAAATATGGCAGTGTGGCAAAACTAAAACTGATTGAAATATATAGTAATATAAATTTATACATAAAGGTGGAAGAAGTCAAATGTGAAGCTTGATAAAACAAAAATTGTTGTCCTGTTTTATATGAAGATATTTTAAATTGTGATGTGATCACCAAACCTCACAATAGCTGGTCAGGAAAAATGAGTCCTGCCAAGCCGCTGAGGTTACAAGTCATGTAACGAGTCGTGGGACAAAAAACCCCCAGTTAAGTCACAAGCCATTAATTACACAGATTAAGTAGAACTTGAGTCCAGGTTGCACGACTCGATTTTTTTAACCTCTGGTTATAGGCACATTGCTTGGGACTGTTAGAAGTGAAACATTTGTTACTCAAGTATTTTTGTGCAGTGGGTATGAAATTATCCCCCAATTGTATGCATATATATAAAGTTTTAGTGGCATAAGTGTAATATTAATAACAGAATAACAAACCATAAACTATTTTAACTTAACTAGTTTGTTTAACACTAGGCGGTTCTGCACCACTTAATGGTGGATTGATGTATGGCAAGCTAGATGTTGTGAGGGCCCTTTGGGAGCAAGTGAACAGTGCAGAGGCACAGACAGACCCTTATGGTGTAAGGAGAATGGCATTGCGAGAAGTTAATTACCAGGGATCTGGTCGTAAGGGAAAGGAGTGCTTATGGGAGTGTCATGGGTGCTATGATGTAAAGCCTTAATTAAAAATTTTTAGCATCAGGAAGAGGGGCAAATGCCTACACTTTGGATTTGACATACATTGAGATTTTTGTACTATAATGAAGAATATTCACACAGGTTCAAAGAAATAACAAGAGATACAGAGGAGAGAATTAGGAGATTGGGTACTGCAGTACTGCCCTTACCTCTCCCAGCAAAGACTGTGGATCTGGCCCAAAGGAGCCACATTGCAAGAGAAGCTATGGGGGAACCAGTGGCGACCTTAAACGCACAATCCTATTTGTGACCCAGACGGGACTCAATGTTTAGCATGACTGATATCGAACGCAGAAGAAGAAAAAAGAAGGAGATTGGGATAAAAATAATGGGAAGGATAAAGTGTAAGTTGCATGAGATGCAAAGGCTAAGATGACTTGGTGTGAGATCTTTTGACGTGAACCAAAGAGAATTACTAACTCGAATGAGTGAAGTAGAAAGTTTCAATATGGCATAACTTTCTGTGGCAGACTGTTCAAATTCGGGTCAGGCTCACGGAATAGTGGCCGCAGGGTGATTTTGAAATGTCTTACTCCACTCATGTCAGCTCTGTGGCTAAGTCGATGCGAACGCTTCGTGTTGCCGGGTTCGATCCCAGCTGCAGATCTAGAGCCTTGCGGTTTCGACAGTGCTATCAAGAAAGCCGACCGTCCAGAAAGCAATGGCAAACTACTGGACGTAAATTAGCCTTGAAAAACCGCACAACAGCCAGAGGCTGTTGGGGTTGGTTCTGCAACGTCCTGTAAAAGATACGCAACTAACCTGACTTCACTCATACATTTTCTGGACTGACAGGCATGCATTGCCTTCATACGCTGATGAAATTCTGTAGATTTCGCCCCTTCACTGATTAACCCCCCCCCCCCCCCCACCCCCCCCCCCCCCCAAAAGAAAATAATAACAGGATGCATGTCAAAAGTGGAACGGTCATCTATAAATTGTTATTTGTTGCCCCTGTGGTTTTTTTTTTAGCATCGTGATGTCATATACTTTTAAAATCCTTAACAATAATATTGGCATTTTACTAGACAATGACATGTCTATTGTAATTTCTATAGCTTGGTTACAGTTTTCATTTAAAGCCCCTCATGTTTATTCCCAGTCAGTTACTTTTCATCATACTGAATACAGGTAACAAAATAATAATTCCTGTTTGATTTTTCTGTGTTTACTAATGAAGACAATTTTTTTTTATTTGCAGGGAGTACAGAAACGACAGCTGCTTCTGTTATCATGTTTTTTTATCTGTTTTGTATCTACACTTTTGGTGATTGTTGGACTTTGCACCAACAACTGGGTGGAGATACGAGACCGCAACCTTTATCGCAACAACATCAATGTTCACTTCGGGCTCCACAGAGTGTGCTGGACTTCCAATGATCGATGCAACAACCCAGGAAATGACTATGATCAACAGAGTAAGTACAGAGCAGTGTTTTGCAAAGTGGGTGCTACAGCCCCCCGCTACAATCCCTCCCCCTTCACGGGTGGGTGGTGGGATGGTCGAGGTGAAACACTGATTTAGAGATTTGTTTCCATTTTCTCATCATGTGGGTTACTGGGCCTCATTTAAAAAAAGAAAATAGGGAGGATAGACCCACTGCCTTTCTAGCAAGCATATTGTAAGAGTCGAATAATTAGTGATTTCTAATTTGGAGTGCATTTGCCATATCTGTGATGCAAACAGCGAGGAATGGAGAGTGAGCAGCAACGGAATTCATTATCTGTTTAAATCACCACTGGTCACTGGCATCATGAGGGTTAATAGACTAAAATGGCTGTTGAATGTTGAGAGGTAAAAACTGTATACACAAGGGAGCTGAATGGTAAAAGAGGATGGGGATTTAATATCCGGACAGACATACAAATGCTTGGTGTCACCAACTGGAAAGAGAAGGCCAACCAGAGAGATTTGTGGAGGTGGGTGATATCTGCAGCAGTAAACCTCAAGGGCTCAGAATGCTGAAGAAGAAGTGCATCTGCCTGAAAGGCAAGAAACCAACAGTCTGCACACAAATGAACCCTATCTGTGAAATGGATGTGCGCTCAAAACTGAGGTTCTGAAACCAGGCTAAAGTTCAAAAGTGGATGAACAACTAGAGCTTTCAGACAGAGTTTACAGTCGGTGAATGTGAAAAAGATGATGATGATTGTGATAACTATGTCTCTGCTTATGATTTTAATAATTGTCTGGTGAATTATTGTGGTAACAGTGTTTCCTGGATTATTGTGATAACTTTGTCTCCTGAATGACTGTGATAACTGTGTCTCCTAAATGATTGTGATAACTTGTGAGTGATTGCGATAACTGTCTCCTAAATGATTGTGATAATTGTGTCTCCTAAATAATTGTGTTAACTGTCTGATGAATGACTGTGATAACTGTGTCTCCTAAATGACTGCGATAACTGTGTCTCCTAAATGACTGCGATAACTGTGTCTCCTAAATGACTGCGATAACTGTGTCTCCTAAATGATTGTGATAACTGTGTCTCCTAAATAATTGTGATAACTGTCTGATGAATGACTGTGATAACTGTGTCTCCTAAATGATTGTGATAACTTGTGAGTGATTGCGATAACTGTCTCCTAAATTATTGCGATAATTGTGTCTCCTAAATTATTGTGATAACTGTGTCTGGTATATATTTGTAACATGCCTCATTGGTGACTTTCTTATTCCCACAGATTCACTGCCGACAGTTCAAGGACTTCTGATAGTTGGGGGATTTATGTCAGTAATTGCCGGATTAGTCGCCATGTTTAACTTGACACAACATCAGCTGGGCAGATCAAATGGATTGATCTCGATCGGTTGTGCGGCAGCAGCAGGAATTTCTGGTGAGTTTATTTGTTGTACGTCGACTCTGTGGATAAGTCAATGCGAAGGTTTCATAATGCCTGGATGCCGGGTTCGATCCCAGCTGTGGTATCAGGGGGTCGACCGTCCAGAAAGCAATGGCAAACTACTGGACGTAAATTTGTCTAGAGAAACCACACAACAGCCAGGGGCAGCTGGGGTTGGTTCTTCAATGTCCTGTAAAGGATACGCAACTAACCTTTAATTGTTGTATGTTAGGATTGATTGTACATCTTGTGGTTGTCGTCACTGACCCAGTGCTGTATGACCCTATAACCAGCGCTTTTGTGGTATGCAACGGTTCGCAGTACCGGTTAACTTTGTTAGGCAAAATATTAATCAGCGCTACTGTTGTAATAGACACTTTTTATCTAGTATTTTATCGAGCACCAACACTTTTTTTTTTTTTTTAGATACTTTGCGGTCAGTACTGCCACTTTTTGTATATATATATATTTTTTAATAGATACTATATGGTAAGTACTTTTTTTTCAAAAGGAAAAATCCCTGTCTGTAACATTATGGTTTTAGCACCATATGTCTGGTATGGCATCCTTGTAACATTATGGTTCTAGCACTATATGTCTGGTATGGCATCCTTGTAACATTATGGTTCTAGCACTATATGTCTGGTGTGATATCCTTGTAACATTATGGTTCTAGCACTATATGTCTGGTGTGATATCCTTGGGTACATTATGGTTTTAGCACTATATGTCTGGTGTGATATCCTTGGGTACATTATGGTTTTAGCACTATATGTCTGGTGTGATATCCTTGTAACATTATGGTTTTAGCACTATATGTCTGGTGTGATATCCTTGTAACATTATGGTTTTAGCACTATATGTCTGGTGTGATATCCTTGGGTACATCATGGTTCTTGCACTATATGTCTGGTGTAATATCCTTGAGTACATTATGGTTTTAGCACTATATGTCTGGTGTAATATCCTTGGGTACATTATGGTTTTAGCACTATTTGTCTGGTGTGATATCCTTGGGTACATTATGGTTTTAGCACTATATGTCTGGTGTGATATCCTTGGGTACATTATGGTTTTAGCACTATATGTCTGGTGTGATATCCTTGGGTACATTATGGTTTTAGCACTATATGTCTGGTGTGATATCCTTGGATACATTATGGTTTTAGCACTATATGTCTGGTGTGATATCCTTGGGTACATTATGGTTTTAGCACTATATGTCTGGTGTGATATCCTTGGGTACATTATGGTTTTAGCACTATATATCTGGTGTGATATCCTTGTAACATTATGGTTTTAGCACTATATGTCTGGTGTGATATCCTTGGGTACATTATGTTTTAGCACTATATGTCTGGTGTGATATCCTTGGGTACATTATGGTCTTAGCACTATATGTCTGGTGTGATATCCTTGGGTACATCATGGTTTTAGCACTATATGTCTGGTGTGATATCCTTGGGTACATCATGGTTTTAGCACTATATGTCTGGTGTAATATCCTTGGGTACATTATGGTTTTAGCACTATATGTCTGGTGTGGTATCCTTGGGTACATTATGGTTTTAGCACTATATGTCTGGTGTGATATCCTTGGGTACATAATGGTTTTAGCACTATATGTCTGGTGTGGTATCCTTGGGTACATTATGGTTTTAGCACTATATGTCTGGTGTGATATCCTTGGGTACATAATGGTTTTAGCACTATATGTCTGGTGTGATATCCTTGGGTACATTATGGTTTTAGCACACTATATGGGTACATCATGGTTTTAGCACTATATTTCTGGTGTGATATCCTTGTAACATTATGGTTTTAGCACTATATGTCTGGTGTGGTATCCTTGGGTACATCATAGTTTTAGCACTATATGTCTGGTGTGATATCCTTGGTACATTATGGTTTTAGCACTATATGTCTGGTGTGATATCCTTGGGTACATGATGGTTTTAGCACTATATGTCTGGTGTGATATCCTTGGGTACATGATGGTTTTAGCACTATATGTCTGGTGTGATATCCTTGGGTACATTATGGTTTTAGCACTATATGTCTGGTGTGATATCCTTGGGTACATTATGGTTTTAGCACTATATGTCTGGTGTGATATCCTTGGGTACATGATGGTTTTAGCACTATATGTCTGGTGTGATATCCTTGGGTACATGATGGTAGACCCATATTTCTTTAGACTTATCAGCACTTCATAGGGGATGTATTCAGTATTGTATTATCTCCCTTAACTTCCTGGGACATTGCCTGATGCCCATTTTAGGCTGGGTCGACCTGTTAGGCCTAATAGATTTGAACCCAAGACTTTAGGATCAGTTTGCTAGCGTCCAGCTGTTGGGCTACTGAAGCTGTTCAGTTTTACTTAGCGTTGAATGTTTATTCGTAATTGTTTCGGGCTCTAATAGGCTTCCCTGGGTTTGGACAGCTGCGTTACAATTTACTTTGACCTCTGGTGTCCCATTAGATGACAGCAACAATGACAGAACACATCAGAATCTTCTGTCTACTGTCGCTAACTTGTCCACTTAAATCTCAGACATCAATATTTGTACTCCCTGTGTGGGTTTTAGGGCCCAATTATAGGGAAAACAAGAATAGAACCACTGCCTACCAAAAAGCATTTCGTAAGAGTCGACTAATTGGGAGCTTCCTTCAAAGTCGGAGTCATCTACCTGAGAGGCAAGGAACCAGCAGTCTGCACACAAATGAGTCAGACTTGTTAAAAGGATGCACACGCAGCATTCAGGTTTTGGAACAGGACTGCAGTCCAGAAGTGGATAAACAACCAGAACTTTCCGCCAGAGTTTACAGCCGGTAAACGCGAAGAAGAAGAAGAAGATTTCTACGACTACTTACAACCTGAAATCCTCTGTCAACAAATGGCTCTTTTCTCACACACACCTATCCAAGCACCAAACACAGAATGATTCTTAATTCGCTGATATCTCTAATCACCTGTTGAATCCCACCCATTATCCTAGCTTCGCTCAGTCTCCTGTTTCACAACAGTCGCGCTAAACCTTGAGTTTTTTTTTCTTTGGCTTATGCCTTCTTTTTAAATACTCCATAGTTTTATTGTTTTAAAATGCTTTTTTTTTTAAAAATTAATTAAAATATATATATATATATGTCTTCTTTTTCTTTTCTACTCCTGGGATGCCTCACTGTGTCAGGGGAGAAAGAGATCTCTAAACGGGCCGTTCTGTTAGTTTCATATATTGTACTTTTCAGTGTCTGATATTCCTGTGGTCCATCTTCTTTGGGTCTGTTACCTCTGTATCTGTATAACATTGCTCTCTGTATTGCCCTGTCTGCATGGCCACACCATTTAATGTGGTGTGTGTGTATAAATATATATATATATAGGTTTTTTTTTTATTGCCAGTAATTGCTTTGTGACATTTAGCCGTTGACTGCATTTATGTCAAGCAAAAATATCAACATAATTTTTGTATTTACTTTGTTGCTATTAAAATTGTATGGTGACTTCAGCCACAGAGTCGACCCGTTGATCAGGCCTAAAGACGAAACAGGAATAGATCAGCCTAAAGACGAAACAGGAATATATCAACCTAAAAAAAAAAACAGGAAAGATTGGCCTAAAGAAAAACAGCAATAGATTGGCCTGCTTTAATTTTGTAAGATAAAATAACTAAACAAAGGACACTTTTAACATTATGGGCATATGGTGCTAGACCATATTTGGCACTCAGTGGGTGATGTAGTCATCCTGCCAGCTGCCTTTACTTCCCACATGTCTAGGTGCCAAAATTATGTTATTAATCTGCCTAGGTGTGTATTTTAACCCAAGAACATTGATCTGGCAGGCAAATGACCAGCCAGTATTGTGGAATGGCTCCTAGGCTTTGGGTAAAAGTTTAAAAAAGTGAAGTTAAAGTGTTTTTGTTAGACTTGTTCATAGTTATCTGGATTTTTTGGTTAAGGATTTTTTACAATTTGTATATCATTTAGAAACTTGTTGTGTTGGAAAAGCATATCAGTCATTTTGTTTAAATGAGAATAAGTTAACATATAGTGTTGTACTGCCCTTCAGGGGATTCACATCTCTGACGTCGCAGGGGCAGCTTCAGAGGAAGTAATCTTAGCAACAGTGAAGATGGGGTTAACCCGTGTGGGTTCTTTCATAATATCCTACCCCAGATGACATCACAGGACAGTCCAACATTTTGCAGGGTGGTAAGATTGGGTTTCCCGGCTTTCTTGTGCTTTAAACGACCCCAAAACATCTAGCACTGACCCTAACCCCAGCCCACCTACCTCCCACGACCGCATGCAGCCTATCTACCAACCCCTTGCCAAATAATAAAGAACACACAGGGGTGATTTCTTAAAACCCTACCCCAAACAGGGGAAATCCACAGTCAAATATTTCAGTGGGTGGTAGATAGGCTGAATGCAGTCATGGGACCAAGGCTGCACTCTCTTTGTGGGACTTAGGTGGGTTGGGGTTAGGGCCAGTTCCAGATGTTTTGGGGTTGTTGAAATCCTCAGAAAGCCAGGAAACCCAGACTTACCACCCTCTAAAATGTTGGACTGTCCTGTGATGTCATCTGGGGTAGCATATTACAAAAGAACCAGCTGTTTACTTCCTAAACGTGTATTTTGTATTCAGTCCTCAAAGGCGTGTCTTACATTATAGAGACTGCTGTGTGTAAAACCATGTCATTGTATTAGCCATATTTTTCACTAAGTGCAACTGTTTTATATACATTGTAATTGCTGGGTGTACTGAAAGTTTAAGTGCCAGTTTTTCATTTTTATTGAGTCTATGAAATAATTGCAGCAGTTTTTTGTTTGTTCATTTGTTGGTTTTAAATCATTTTACTTAAATGTGCATTAACTCTTGAAGTCCCTCACAGCTATAAGCTTAACTCTTTCTGTTGAAACTAGCAAATCCCTATGTGGGTTGCGGTTCCCTATTGGGAACTTCCTTTGAAGTCAGAGTACATCTACCT